ATGGATGGATGATGGATGGATGCATTAATGGATGGATGATGCATGGATGGATGATGGATGGATGCATTAATGGATGGATGGATGCATGGTAGGGATGCACTGATCCACTTTTTTCTCTTCTGATACCAATACCTGCTGTTTAGCATCAGCCGATACCGATCTGATACCGATCTGATACCGATCTGATACCGATGCTTGATTAAGTTGGGGGTGTTGTAGCTGGAAGTTTTAGTGCCATCCCCTGGAACCGTCGCTGTGCACGTTTTGCACGTAGGGGTCGAATGTGTTGGCTCAGGTAGTGTGACATAGTTCCAGATGGCTGATCCTTTCACTCGCTCCATTTTGAAAACAATCTGCGGTGAGTTCACTAGTGCGTGACGTCACTCAGAGCACAAAGCATAGAGCTAGAGTGAATAGATCTGCCCAGTCATGGATCGGTCACACTGTCACGATACCTGATCCAGAAGTTTTTTTGATATCGGGACCAATACGATATTTGTATTGGATTGGTGCATCATGGAACATGAAATCATGGATGGATGGATGGATGGATGGATGATGGATAGATGGATGGATAGATTGATAGATGGATGGATAGATTGATAGATGGATGGATAGATTGATAGATAGATGGATGGATGGATGGATGATAGATGGATGGATGGATGATGGATGGATAGATTGATAGATGGATGGATGGATGATAGATGGATGGATGGATGATGGATGGATAGATTGATAGATGGATGGATGATAGATGGATGGATGGATGATGGATGGATAGATTGATAGATGGATGATGGATGGATGATGGATGGATAGATTGATAGATGGATGGATGGATGATGGATGGATGATGGATGGATAGATTGATAGATGGATGGATGATGGATGGATAGATTGATAGATGGATGGATGATGGATGGATAGATTGATAGATGGATGGATGATGGATGGATGGATGATAGATGGATGGATGGATGATGGCTGGTTGAGTTCATAATAGTCTCATCAGTCTGTCTTAAGTCCAGTTCCTGTGTGTTCTCTGAAACAGGAAGTCCTCTTCAGTTTTACGTTGACGCCATCGACAGCGGTCATGTGACAGCATTCGGTCCCGGTCTAAGCCACGGTACCGTGGACCAACCGGCCACGTTCACCATCGTCACCAAAGATGCAGGCGAAGGTACAAACTCACTTGGAGAGTCATGAGTGTAGGAATGGTTGCCGGCACAGTCAACTTTGGTTTGTCAGAATAAACTGTTGTCTTTTATTTTGTAGTATTAAAGATGAATTTGTTGGAGAGACGTTTAGATTTTTATTCGACTCTCAGAAGAATTCTGAGCGAACACTTCAAGCGATAAACATGTTGCAGAAGAACAGAGGGTAAAGCCAGGACGTGATGTCATGATCCTCCTGTCCTGTGCAGGAGGTTTGTCTCTGGCTGTTGAAGGACCGTCCAAAGCAGAGATCAGCTGCAAAGACAACAAGGACGGGACGTGCACCGTGTCCTACCTGCCGACTGCGCCTGGAGACTACAACATCATTGTAAAGTTTGACGACAAAAACATCGCCGGCAGCCCGTTCACCACCAGGATCACAGGTACAGAACCTCCTCTGGAGACGGCTCCCCCGGACGCTGACAGACAGGTCAACGTGTCTCCTGTGCTCTCCAGGAGAGGACTCCATGAGGATGTCTCAGCTCAACGTTGGCACTGCAACAGATGTTTCCCTGAAGATCATGGAGACGGACCTGAGCAGCCTGATGGCGACCATCAGAGCTCCGTCTGGACACGAGGAGCCGTGTCTGCTGAAGAGGCTGCCCAACCGACACATTGGTCTGTTGGAAGAACTCGTCCGCTTTCATCTGATCTGAGCTCAGATTAAAAACATCTGTGACACGAGCTCGTTGGTGCATTTACCTCAAGTCTGAGAAGATCATCACAGTAATTTATTTTGATCTCTTTGCATGCAGGGATTTCCTTCACGCCCAAGGAAGTGGGCGAGCATGTCGTTAGTGTGAAGAAAAGTGGGAAGCACGTGACCAACAGTCCCTTTAAGATCCTGGTGGGTCCGTCAGAGATCGGAGACGCCAGCAGAGTGAAGGTTGACGGTCAGGGTCTGGTGGAGGGACACACATTTGAAGTGGCAGAGTTTGTTGTGGACACCAGGAACGCAGGTGGGGAGGTACAATCCTCAAAATCTGCTCACAATCAGGATTTGGTTCTTCAGGTCTCACTGTCGCAGTGCATTCTGCAGGGTATGGAGGTCTGGGTCTGTCCATCGAGGGTCCCAGTAAAGTGGACATCAACTGTGAGGACATGGAGGATGGGACGTGTAAAGTCACCTACTGTCCAACAGAACCTGGAAACTACATCATCAACATCAAGTTTGCAGACCAACACGTTCCAGGTACGGACAGCCGCCACCAGCTCAAGCGGGTTTCCTGGTGCTGACGCGGCGTTTATTCACAGTCCACAGATTTCAATCAGGTTGAGGGTGGAGCTTCAAGAAGACCATTTTAGAACTTTACGGTTAGCATGGTTTTCCCAGGGGGTGACCCCAGGGCACGGGGGTCGACCTCTTCACTGTATACAGCAGCATGATGCTCCCACCCTCGTGCCTCTTAGTCATTACTATGTTCAGCACTTTGTTTCAGCTGTGGCTGCTGTTCAACACGTTACAAACAAAGCTGATGATGACGACAGCTGCTTCACTGAGCTGACGTCTGAAAACCACCTCGACTCCTCCAAACGTCCTTTACATCACGTCTTTGCATCGTCTCACCATCAAACTCTTCTCCAGAATGTTACGTTCAGGCGGCACGGTGGTGCAGTTCGTACAGCTGCCGCCTCTCAGCGAGAAGGTTGCCGGATTGAATCCCAGCCAGGGACCTTTCTGGGTGGAGTTTGCATGTTCTCTCTGTGTGTTCTCCGGTTTCCTCCCACAAACCAAAAACATGCATGTTAGACTGATAGGTAACTCTGAATTGTCCCTAGGTGTCTCTGTGATGGACAGGAGACCTATCCAGGTGTCCCCCTCCCCCACAGTGACTGCTGGACATGGCCAGTGGGACCCAAAAAGAATGAAGTGCATAAAGATGATGGATGGATGGATGGATGGATGGATGATGGATGGATGGATGACAGATGGATGGATGATGGATGGATGGATAGATGATGGATGGATGGATGGATGACAGATGGATGGATGATGGATGGATGGATGTTTGGATGGATGATTGATAGATGATTGATGATGGATAATGGATGGATGAATAATGGATGGATGTTTGGCTGGATGGAC